ATCATTATATGGTTTAAAACAAGCGCCGAAGCAATGGAATGAGAAGTTTGACAAGGCAATGATGTCAAATGGATTTAAAATTAATAAGTGTGACAAATATGTTTATATTAAAAATACAGACAAAGGTTATGCTATAGTATGTCTTTATGTGGATGATATGGTCATCATAGGTAGTAGTAATGACATGATTAAAATTATCAAGAAAATGTTGAATAAACATTTTGACATGAAAGACATGGGCATTGCTGTTGTAATTCTTGGTATGAAAATTACCAAAGCATCAGAAGGATATGCTTTGTTACAATCTCATTACATTAAGAAAATACTTAACAAATTCAGCAAAGATGATGATCATCTTGCTAGGATACCTGTGGATGTTAATTTGTTTCTTTCTAAGAATGTACAAGAAAGTATTTCTCAATTAGAGTATGCCAAATTATTGGAAGCTTAATGTACTTGATAAACTGCACTCACCCGGATATAGCTTATGCAGTAAGTAAATTAAGTAGATATATGAGTAATCTAGGAGTAGAACACTGGAAAGTAATTATAAGGGTTCTAAGATACCTCAGATTTACTCGTAACATTGGGCTCAATTATACTAGATATCCAGCAGTACTTGAAGGATACTGTGATACAAATTGGATAGCGAAGACTAGAAACTCAAAGTCCACCAGTGGTTATGTCTATACTCTTGATGGTGCGGCTGTATCTTAGAAATCTTCCAAACAAACTTGCATTGCTAGGTCTACTATGGAATCAGAATTCATAACTTTAGATAAAGCTGAAGAAGAAGCAGAATGGCTTCGCCACTTCCTTTAAGATATTCCAATGTGACCAAAACCTATGCCTACTATTTGCATACATTGTGATAGTCAATCAACAATAGGTAGAGCACAGAGTCATATGTATAACGGTAAGTTACGACACATTCGTCGTTGACATAACACCGTAAGACAACTACTCTCTAATGGAATTATTTCCATTGAATATGTGGAGTCCAAAGATAACATAGCGGATCCACTAACCAAAGGGTTAGCAAGAGAGATAGTGAGAATTCATTGAAGGGAATGAGACTTAAGCCTATTAAATAAGAGTTACCACAACGGCAACCCAACCTAGTTGACTGGAGATCTCAAGATCTAGATTCAAAGGGACAATCGAGTTGTGTATGACTTAGAAGAATCACTAGGGAGTCCAACTCCTACCTATTTCTACGATGAAATAGTGATGTCTGCAGCATTTTTAGGTTAAATAATACTTTTAATGATTCTTATATCTAGGTAAACCTAGTGGAGTATGGTAGGATACTCTTCATAAGAATCGCCCATGTGAGTGTGAACTGGGCCGGTTCTATGAGATTTGTGAAGGGCTACAATTCTCTAGAGCACTCATGAAAGACCAGGTTATTTATGGCCAAAATGAACACAATAGTGAGAACTAAACTGTGTCTGGTGATATACTGTGTGAGTTCTATTGTCTTGGTTTACACAAATGGCTAAACAGCTCAAGACATCATGTTCACTGGTTAGCTAGTAAATCCGAGAGTGTCTCACAAGGGAAGGTTCAAAGCCAAAAACTACTTATCCTTTGCAAAATATTCCCAATTTCTATACTCTCTGTGATTAGATTATTTTGTTGCATTTTTTCTCCGTCAAATTCTATTCATGTGGGGGATTATTGGAAAATTTAGTTTTATGGGCTTATTTTGGGCTATCTTTGAGCCCAAGTATGAGTGGGGTCAACACGTCTTTGGAGGTGAGTCCGAAGAGGTGATGTGTTCCTTGTCGCATGGCAAGTCACACGGAGAAAACAGTTCGTCAAAATCATTTATGAGTGAATGGAAAATTGACATCGTTTTCAGGTTTGTGGAATGAACATTTAAATAATTAAATGTGAGTTTCCTTGAAATGAGATGTCTCACATTGAAACTTAAAGAGAACTTATGTGTGTATAAAAGTTCTAGGTGACAACACTTGAGTTGGGCCCCAAGAGGCACCCCAAGTTTGTAGAAGGGATGAGTTATGGACAAATGGAATCTTAGCCCAAACCACCATACGCGCGTACGCGCTGCCATCGTCCGACCGGGCACAGGTGTGGGTCAGGTTGGTTCTAACTTTAATTTTTTGGACAAAATTCATTTGGATTGTAGGAAATTATTTGAATTTCAAATTATATTTGAATTCAAATTTTTGTCCAAAATTTGTGCCTGTTCCAAATTCCACAATAGTTTCAAATTTCGGACATATTGAAACTGCCCAGATAGATCTGTTCAGTAGTTATAAAATTGCCCAGTCAAATTTAAATCTGTCCTGCATTTACCAACATATTTAAATTCCAGCAATTATCTGTTCAAACAGTGTTGCACCTGTTGGTTTGAATTGAATCTGTTCCACTTTGAAATTAATACCTGTTCGGGTCTACAATTTGCCTATATATATCAGTATTTTCCAGCAGTGTTTTGGATCCGAAAAACAGTCTGCAAAATAAACTGTAAATTCATTTTGGTTGCCTTTATTTTGCTCTCTTGTATCAATTATTCTTCACATTATTTTAGGAAAAAATTCAGAGAGTTTAGAACACAGGTTGTGTTCGCCGAACAAATTGTTTGGAGTACTACTACAATTTGTGAAGATCATTGTATCTTGGAAGATAGATGCCATTTTTCCATAAGCACCGTAGCAGGGCGAATCTATCTTAAGTACTGAATGTCACACACTCGACTTGATCTTTTTATTATTCATTTGATTTAGTAAAATAAATTCGGTACGTTATTTATTTTATTTGTTTAATTTGATTTCAATTTATTTATTGTATACAGAAGATTGTTCCAACAGAATATACCCAAACATCAGTCTATTTGTAGTCAACAAAACTGTTAGAATATGGTTCTGCAAAAATAATTTTATTGGACAATTTTGAACAAAAATTAAAGTGGCTTTCACACATCTGTTGCTTATTAAACTTTAATTTGCTCAAAATCATTAAGGAACGAACAAGAAATTAATTCCAAAATCACTGTTTGAATATTGATTGAAAAATGCTAGCTTTTGTCTTACATATATATTTTTTTATGAAAGTTTGTTTACTTTATTTAGTCTAACCTTCGACTTGGGGTTAGGCCCTTGGCATCTAAATTTAGTGGATGAAAATTTTGTTGACTTTATTTAGTCTAACTTTCAACTTGGAGTTAGGCCTTTAAGGGCACTCAAATTTGTGGATGGAGGAGAATCTAACTACGCTTGCTTGTGCTGCTCCTATCCAAGCTAGGTCAGGTTAAGTTGAGCAGTGTGTATATATATATATATATATATTGGATAAAATTATTAATTAATTACTTTCAAAAAATCAAAGCTCGTGTGTTTTTTCGCTATGACCATATATGATTTTAGCTTCGTGATTGCTTTGAATAGGTATGAGAAAGTCTATAAAATCATCCCTTTCCCGGCATATTCATTCATTCAATTGTCTTTCTCTTGGTATCATTATTCTAAGTGTCTAATAGTACAGTCATTTTTTTGGTTCACCAGGCAAACATTCGAAATGTTTCCATTGATCGTTGCAGTGAGACGAATTTTGTATTAAAAAGATAATGTCCAACACTAATTTTGACCAGATTTTGTATCTACAATTTACGTTATGTAAGTTTACTTTCTTTTTTTTCTTTTTTTTGGATCTGAAAATCTGATCCCAACATGAGTTTGAAATGTCCACCTCTCAAGATACCACACGGCCTTACGTAGTTTAGCATATTAATTACACACAAACAAATTTAATCTATCTTATTCTTTATACGAATCTAATTATTAGCCCGCATCATAATTTACTTAAATTTAAATCAAGGATAGTCTCTAGTACAAAAATTTGCAAATAATTCCAAATCTAATTATACTAAAATTAAATTAAACACAGGGTTATGGGCTTACTTTCAATAGAGTGAATTGAAAGTGAAATAAATTACATGGTAAAAAAGTAAAATCCTCTCTTTCTTTCTTTCTTTTTTTCTTTTTACAATTGATAAGGGAAAATAATGGAAGTAAAAATTGCATGATACATTAAAAAAAAAAAATTGATCAATCCAATAATTGTAATCCTTTCATTTTATCGTATTTATTTTCGAAAAATAAATGTTCTATTTTCAAAAACATACTTATTAGTGTCTATTTTTTAGAAACAAACGCCATGAAATGAAAATATTACGATTATTAAATTGACTTAATTTTTTTAAAATTTTTTTTATAGATGATATACATCGAGAACTTTACAAAATAAACATTCAAATAATCTAAATAGGATTCATGGTGAGCTCCACAGACCTAAAAATTCTCTCAAATTCAAATTTAAACTTGGAAAAAAGACAACTTAAAATTTAAGGTGAATTACATTATCTTTTCTTGAGGTTTAAAAAAAACAAAACATATAGTAAGTAATTTTCTTTTTAATAAAATTAAATGGAATGAAACTAACGCAGATAGTGTGAAAATACAAAATTATACAACGCAAAATAAATATTTTCGGATAAAAGATGACAATATCATTTTTTAATTCATATAACTGACAAATTATTGATGAGAATGAAACTTAAATGTTATATTAATTAAAATTGCAAAGGAACTTAATATAATTATGTCAAAATTAAGAAATTCACTTTATTTTCTCCAAACCCAAAGAAACTCAAAGTTGAATCTAGTTTACCCTAAAGTTTATTGCGGAGGAGAGAAAGAGAGATGATTATGAAATTTGGCACTTTTATTTTATTTTATTTATTATTATTATTATTGAGACCTCAAAAAAACTCTCACAATTCTATATGTCAGAATAAGTGTCAATTTTTAATTTATTACATATCCAATGATTGAGAGCCCAAATTTTTTACCACACATTATAAATAAATTATTGGACAAATTTGTGACTCTTTAGTATTAATCTTTTTTTTTTTTTTTTCTCAATAGTGAACAAAATCGAATATATTTGAAAACAAGTTTTTGTTCGTGATATCCCAAAAACACAATTGCTCTGTTATCAAAGGGATGTGAAGTTGATGTTAGCCACCTCCTTCCTCACAGTTCTTAAAAAACTCGAGCCCATTTTGTATGCCCCATCTCATTTCCATACGAACTACCACTCCCTCCCTTTAAACTACCTTTTGAATTCTTGTTCCTCTCTTTCAGACCTCAAACGAATCCATGCTCTCATCGTCACAAATGGGTCCCTCAAAAACCTCCTCTTATCCACCAAACTCATCACCTTAGCTCGCTCCGTGTCCCCAACAATGGACTATGCTCGCAAACTGTTTGATTTAATGCCTGAAAGGGATTTATTTCTCTGGAACACCATGATTCGAGGTTATGCTGATCTGGGTCCTTGTCAAGAAGCCATAGTTCTCTACAGAGACATGCATCGGATTGGATTATTACCTGATAGCTATACCTTTCCTTCCGTGGTTCGATCTTGTGCTGTCCTCTCAGCTTTGATGGAAGGGAGAGAAGTGCATTGTAACATAATTAAGAATGGATTTGATTTGGATGTATTTGTACAGAGTTCATTAATTACAATGTACTCGCAGAGTGGGGAGATTTTCAATTCGGAACTAGTTTTTGGTGAGATGGTTGTGAGAAACATAGTTTCTTGGACTGCATTGATTGCAGGATATGTGCAAAATGGATTTTTTGAAAAAGGGTTGGGCATTTTTTGTTAGATGATAGCTTTCGGGACTCAACTGAATGCAATTACACTCGTGAGCATTCTTCCCGCCTGTGCTGGTTTGGAGTTTTTGAACTTGGGGAAATTGGTTCATGGTTGTGCTGTTAAATTGGGGGTGGACTCTGATATTTCACTGATTAACACTTTAATCGCTCTTTATGGTAAGTGCGGAATTGTTGATACTGCCAGATCTTTGTTTGATCAGATGCCAGTCCGAAGCCTGGTCTCGTGGAATGCCATGATTGCTGCTTATGGACAGACTAATGCTGATCGGTTTGCAATTAAGCTCTTCCGTAGAATGCTAATTGAAAAGGTAGAATTTGATTATATCACAATGGTTAGTATTATATCAGCTTGTGCTAATTTGGGAGCACTCAATACTGGGAAATGGATACATAAGCTTGTGAGGAACAAAGGCCTTGAAACTAATGTTTCGATTACTAATGCTTTAATTGACATGTATGCAAAATGTGGAAACATAGATTTGGCAAGGGATGCTTTCAACAAGTTGCCTCATAAAAGTGTTGTGTCCTGGACTTCAATTATAGGGGCCTGTGCATCTCATGGGCATGGGGACGATGCTTTGAAGCTTTTCACAAAGATGAAAGAGGAAGGAATTAGGCCAAATAGCTTCACCTTCATTTCTGTTTTAACAGCTTGTAGGCATTCAGGTTTAGTAGAAGAAGGGAAGAAGCATTTTGAGAGCATGACAAAAGATTACTCAATCGGGCCTGCTGTAGAGCACTGTGCTTGTATGGTGGATCTTCTAGGTAGAGCTGGCCAATTGGTGGAGGCTTATGAGTTTATCAAGAACATGCCAAGTGGACCAGATATTGGTGTTTGGGGAGCTTTGCTTGGTGCTTGTAGAATCCATGGTAATCTTGAGCTAGCAGAGCTTGTTGCTGACCGATTGCATCAGTTGGAGTCTCAAACTGTTAGTTTTTATGTCCTTATGACAAATATCTATGCTGAGGCTGGAAGGTGGGAAGACGTAGCAAGATTGAGGAAGTTGATGGAAGAAAGAGAGTTGAAAAAAATTCCAGGCCATAGTTTGGTGGAGGTAAACCAGAGGTTTCATACATTTTTATCAGGTTCAAAATCACGGCCTTTCTAAAGTGTCATATTCGAGTATATCACATTCATCTCAAGTACCATGGCCAACATGTATAATATAGGATGCAAAATGGATACTAGTTTCTTGTAAGCAATGATTAGCATTTGGCAAAATGTACCTCCGAAAGATTGAGCTAGCTGAGTGGATTGATTAACCTATGAACACTATCCTAATGGTAAAGTTGGGAGTCCAAAGGATTTATTTTAAGGGACAAAATTTGCATGGCTGGTAGCAATATCCTTAAAGTGGTAATAACCAGTTGGGTTGTCAAAAACTAAGTATTTATTTATTTATTTGTTAGTCATATATTTAAGTTTTGTGCCTTTGTTACAGCACAACATTGGAAATTTTCGGTTGGAATAATGTTTTCTCTGTCGTTACCAAATATCACATTGATGAAAAAGTGATATGATATCTATTCTCACAGAATGTTATTGAAGTCAATAAACTACCTGGGATAATCTCTAAAGCTAATACAGCTTGCTTTTCATTTTTTTTTAGAGGGTGACAGCTTTCTTTTCATTGAGACATGTAAAAATGAAAGTTCCCTCATGGAATTCTTTTCATTTTAAGTATCATGATTTCTTTCACATCCAGAGTTTTTTTTTTTGTAATCCCTGAGCCATCTTCCGGAAACTTGAAGAAATAAATCTGTTGCAATTATTAATGATTATGTTGATGATCAGTTTACTTGTTACGCATAAATTGCCTTGCAATTAGTTATTTGCATCACGAACAACAAGACCTGCCATAAATACTAACAGAAAAGTCATTTTTTTAAGGAACTGTATTTTGTATCTTTAGTATCTGCTTTACTTGAGTATTTCCCCCAAAATCGTATTAGTCAATTTTTTGGAGTGTAAGAATTTCCTGTAAGCTGAATGATTCATTTGCTGAATTTGAAAACAACTTTATGCAGTGGTAAATTTTATTTTCGTCATCCCTAATTTGGGGTGAGCTGTCGTGGCCACTTGGACAATGTATTCCTTTTTCATACAATCAATGGAGGTAAACTTCTGCCAAATAAGGTTTTATAATTCAAAGCAAAGCAAGAAAGTTTGCTCTTTCGATAATTGAGGGGTTGCCATTTCGACCACCTGATCACAGAGTGTAAAAGTTGCATAAGCTCTTTATGGTTAAAAACAGAAGCCAGAAAAACAGCTTTTAACTACTATCGCAATACCTCGAAACCCATCTTTTGGTAAAGTTCTTGTGCAGGTCGGTTTTTTCTATGCACGTGCACAAATACCTGCTCTGCACCTGCCATGGTTTAAAGTAAATCATGTTTGCTTTTGTTCAAAATCCGAAGAACCAATGCAGGTTATCGTCTTACCATTGAATTTAGCTAACTTAACAGCAAAATACAACATGTTTGTTGCAATACCCTGGCGGCGAGCAGATTTGGAAGCACAGAGGTTTGCAATGTAAGAGTATCTGTTTTGGCCTGTCTTGTCAAAGCTGCAAAAGAGAGGGGCTTTCACCCTTTCCTGTGAGAGGACAAAATTCGAAGTTGAGGCAACAAAAGCATTGAGTGTTGGATGCAGATTCATTAATTAGATGAGAGTTTACCCCAGGAAAGGTCTCCCCAGGCAACAAGTATCGGATGCTCAAATCTAGGGTTCCAACTACACTCTTCAGTATGGTACATTTCACATTCTTGTCTTCCTTCTTTACCTATTAATTTGAATGACCCTGTATGAGGAGCTTCTTTGATAATAAACATAAAATTTTATCATTAGCCCAACCAAGAGATCAATGAACTCTTTCAAAAATGATTAAACTTGATGTTAATCCTAACCCAAAGAAACTATAAAAAGATAGAAGATAAAAATTGGTGCCCGAAAGATGATTTGTGAAAAGAAAATCATACCGTCACAACGCAGGTACATTTATGCTTCTGTTGCTTTCTGCATCGCCTTTTCAATGCCGTAAACTCCTACACAGAAAATGGGGTAAAGATTTTTATGCACAATATATATTCCAGTCGTGTTTTTTTTTTATTTTTTATATTGATAAACAGATTATGCCAGTTTAGCCCTACCTGCTCTGCAAATTTCCTTTTGTAGTTATCAACATATCTGTATTGTTAAGTAGAGCTAGAAGTCAGTGGAATGGCATATTATCGCCATGAGTTAACAAACAAGATTGAAACAAACACTCCAACCGGTCTCTTTGTTCTATTAATCGGCTCATTTATCTGTTTTCATATAACAATGGCAAGTTCAATCTTCCACATGTAGATTTGTTTTGAGAAATTTAACTATGTGCTTCAGAGGTTTTGATTTTGATATTTAATTCATACCGTTCGTTTGTCTTATCCTCCCAATGACTTTCAGCTCGCAGCCATGCTGCCGTCTACCAAAAAAACAAAAACACAACTACCACCTCAAACTGGCACGAGATTACATAAAAAGCAACCATATTGTAAGAAATTCATGCTTTGAATTTTAGGTTATATATAGAATAATATGATACTGACCCAAAATTCTTCGTCTAGTAAGGCCTCACGTGCCACGAACTGTCCAAACCCAATTCTATCCTCCTGAATAATTTCTTGATCGAATGGCTGCAGCCGGTTGAAATGGAGATTCAAAGGACTTGTTTTAGATTGTGGAATGGAGAGTTTCTGATTTTCTACTGAGAATTCTTCCTTCTTGTTTGTCTGTGATTGTGCAGGTCTAGAATTCAATGCCCCGTTGGTTGAGAAAATTAAAAAAAGCTCAACTCATGCACCGATTTTGGATTCTATGAGCTCATAAACAACCACAGAAAACTCTACCCACATTTAGATTTGGTCAGAGAAATAAAGGGAAAAGAAAAGAAAAGAAAAGAAAATCATACAGTTTCAGCAAGGAATGCTTCAAATTTTGTTGATGCTTATGAGTATAATTTGATTCAAGGAACGTGCTAAAATTGAACTCACGCTGTCAAGGAGGTACAAGTGTGTTTGTGACAATTTCTCATCCCATAGCTTGAAATCTTGAAGAAACCAACAGGTCTGTTCATCGGTACTATCGACATTGAAGCTTTCCAATTCCAGATTTATTTGACACTTCCTTTGTTTTCTCTTTCAAGGAATGACAGAAGGAAGAGTCCCAGGAGTCCCAGAAATGAAAACAACAGTAGTTTTGATCTATGAAAAGAATACTGTGTTTCTTATCTATGTAACTGGCAATGAAAACAAGAAAAACAATTTGAAAACTCAATTGTTCTTTTGACATTTAATACCAAACTTAACGGCCTGCCAATCATGTTGGTCCTTCAATCACCACCCAATAAAGGCTGTCAAACAGATAATAACTACCACAAGGGGTGGTTTGTCTCTTTCATTGTTGGGGAGTGACCTCTTGTATTGAATGTCACGAATACAGAAATCAAATACAAAATATATATAAATGGATATATGTTACGTGTGGCTCTGTAATCGATTTTTATCTTCATAGAATTGTTGAGACCAACAAACTTTGATACACAGTAATTATTCGAAAATTTCAAATCACTACGTTTTGATTTTAGACTACTCATAATTAGTCACATAAAAAAAAATTTAAAATGCTAGGGAAAAAAAAATGGGACCCAAAACCTGAACACAAGTTGTGCAAGTGAAACCACAAAATGGGAGAAGTCAGGGTTTGGGATATGATTGTCAGAAGAACATGTGGTATCCTTAGAAGCCACCTATCTCCTCCCCCTTTACATCCTCACAATAGAAACAAATATATTATAATATTTTTTGACAATAATTAATGGACCCTAATACCCCCATCTAGTTTGCATCATTGGTTATTAATAATAAATCTATTAGTTTAACACGGCGTGTGTAATGGTGACACATTCATGCATGTAATATATTAAGGACACACTTAAGCTAATTGAGTCCAATTATTGAATTCTTATTGTTAAGAGGGATTCTCAAGTTAATTAAGCATGATGAGTGGATCTTTAAATTGCAAAGGGATTTGTAGGGGGAAAAAAATTATATTTTATTTATATGAGGGAATTACATGCAGGTGAGAGAAAGGAAAAAAAAATTATAAACACATAAAAATTACAAACACATGGGTGCAAGTGTATCTATGGTGGGGTGCAAATGAAAGAGGGTGCAAGTGTCACTTGTACCCCTCTATGTGTTGGTAATTTTTTTTTTCCCTTCTCTCACCTACATGTAGTTTCTCCTATTTATATTTCTTCTTTCCTTTTTCTATTTCTTCCACAAATAAGTTCAAAATCTAAACATATTAGAAATTTCAATTCCACTTTCTTTTTTCTTTTTTTCTTTTTTTTTCTCTTTTTAATTTCATTATTCTAAACAGTTTCCCTAAAATGAGTTTCAATTCATTCTTTGAAAAAAGTAAAAACACCTTTTTGTTTTGATGGCCACTCCCATACTTTACATTCATTTCTAATGTTCACTAAAATGGGCTAAATCAAAATTCTAAGAGCTATTCAAAGATTCATATATTGTCATTCAATGATGTTCAAAATTTCTTTGTGTATCATGATCATTGAAATTCTACATTCATTTCTACTACAATTGTGTTATTTCAATCCCTTACTTCTGCTTGCAGTTACTTTTCGTCTAAAACATGGCAATTCAAGGCCCAATAGTCTCGTTAAAACGAAATCTGGGTAGAAAAAAATGCTCGTGAGCCGAAGTATGAATCACCTATTCCCCTGCTCTATAATACACTGGACAAGTTTGGTTTCATAGGCAAACATGCAGTGACCCGCCCAACTTGCCTAACCCAACCCAACTTAACTTGGGCTAAATTGGACATTTTGATGCAACGGATGGACAGTTGCAGGTCTGCCAATTCCCAAAAAGTTGGGTTTCGATCGAGTAGTGGGTATACAGGATTCCATTTGCGGAACACAACTAGACCGCATGAAATTAGGCTTTCAATTATTATATTAATTTCAATAAACAGCATTGAAAAGAACACTTCTCAAAAATGAAGAACTAAGTAAAAGGTTCAAAAAAAAGTCCAAAACAGAAAGCTCGCTACTTGAGAGGAAAAAAAATAAGCCCAAAAAAGCCCAAATTAGTAAGGAAAATAACTAAGAAAATAAGCTCAAAAAGGCCCAAAACAATAAGACCCAATCCACCAACTCAATCCGCATCCACTTGCTAATCCGTCCAACCTGTTCGGTCGATTTCAAAACCAAGGGTGATTGGTTAGTTGCGGATGAGATTTTCTCAATCCAAACCCATTCCGACAGATGGCGAATGACCTGCAACTCAACCCAACCTTGATCCATGATAACCCCTACGTCCTTGATCCATAACGACGGCCCAACTAGTGAAATGAGAAATAGAATTAGTGAAATGAGAAAGCCCGACCAAACAACTGCAGGTGAGGTAGGAAACACAAAAAGCCAAGGAGCAACCTAGTAAGAAGATAACTCCACTAGGAAAATACTTGGACCCCCATTTTAGGAGACCCCATGACTCACAAATGATTGTGATTGGTCATGTGTGTTTTTATTTTATTTATTTATTTTTTTTCCCTATCTTTCTGACACGTGTGCGTGGAGGTCGTGGAGGTGGGATGTTTTGTGGGGGTTTGTATAATTTCTGTCCCACTAGATATGACATGTAAATGATGACATATGAATGTATATAAGAGGGGAAAGATGAACAAATAGAATTACGTTTAATCAACCCCATAAAATAGTACTCCTAATCTACCTTCTCCCATCTATATACAAGAACTGACATGATCGTCAAAGTGCTCTTTGATTGATAACCACCAGCCAGACAACTCTAATGTGTTGTGATCTCTGAGAAGAAAACAACTTGCATCACATTATCTTATTTCACTCTAGTGCAAGAAAGTTTTCCCTTGCACACACTATGTACTTTGGCATAATCCAATATACATTGTCAAATTACTTATGACAAAGCGAGAACTACTAATCCACTCTAATCCAAATCCCTTGTAGTTTTCAACAAAAGTAAAAAAAATGATCCAAAACAGCCCAACAAACAAAATAAGCAGCGTTGTGATTGAAACCGCTTTTCAGCCAAATTCCATTTTTTGGCTTCCAATTTCGCATTTTTTGGTATTTTTTGAAAGTTTTCTTCTAGTTGTAATATAATGTCATCCAATAATTGTTGGTTTAAAAATTAAATAATGTCAAAAAAAAAAAATGAGGCTAAAAACTATAGCCTTTCAGTTGCATCGGTTTAATTCAGTTAGATTCAAATTTAGACCAATAATATATCATCATCATCTGCAAGAAAGATTCATTTGGGTTAGTGTTTAGTTTGCTGAAATGATTTTGAATAGGAATGAAATGGTTATTTCTTCACCTCTCAATAAAATAATTATTCTTCTAAATTGTAGAATAATGATTCTATTTAGAAGGTATATGAGAATAGTATTTCCCTTTGACCAATAACCATTCTATTTCAGCCTTCATTCGAAATAAAGAAAACAATCACACATCCAAAAAAAATAAATGCACATGAAAGAGCTAACATTGAATTAATCATCAAAAACACCATTCATATATTCATATAAAGCCTCCAGTGGACACCCCATGGTGACCCCAAAAAAACACAACAACAATAACAACAAAAACATCAACAACAAACAGATCATTTAACTATGTTCAAAATAAAAAAAATAAAAATAAAAAAGCAAATCATTTTAACTACTAATAACAACCACAAGGAGTGTTCTGCCTTTAGCCTTCCGAATCATTTTTTACCCATTGCCCATACTTATTCTTCACCTTCTCATCCAACTCCTTCCCTTTCATCTCTGCCATTTTCGCCACATTCGCCATCGATTCCACCTGCACCCTCGCCATCCTCCGACTCCTCTTCCTCTCCATTGCCTCTCTCTCCGATTCCAATCCCTCATACTCTCTCACCCAAAACTATGCACAGCACACATCAATACCAACACACCAATTTGCAATACAAACATTGCCATTAAAATCCCACACTCCAATCTCACCAACACTTTAGCCTCTCTCGGGTCTCTTGGCGATTTTAGTAGAGAAAGGCTCGGTTTTTCTTTGGTGAAGAGGGCTAAAATGGCGAGTAATTGACCGATTGAGGAGGCGAGAAGGAGGGAGAGGTGGGTTATGAAGCAGAAGTGGGTGAGATGAGAGTAGAATCCCACAAAGGAGGAGAGAAGTGAAATTGAAGAGACTGTGAGGAATGCCCAGCCTAGAGAAGTTGGGGGCATTTTGAGGAGGATGATGGGGAAGAGAGGTTGCAGAGAGGATGAAGAGAGTGAAATTCAAGCATGAGAGGAGGGAGATTGGGGAAGGAACATGAGCTTCTGAGCTTAGAGGAAGCCGAGAGAGAGAGAGAGAGAGAGATGGTTTGGGGAGGGATGGACGGTTTTGATTTGAATTTAAATGAGTAGAATTTGGCCGTTGAGGGCCAAAATATAACGTCTGGATTTTGGGAGGCCCACTCTTTATTTGCCTCGAGTGATGTATCTGAACTTCACCGTATCAATCCCTCCCTCCCTCCCTCCATCTGCTTGTAAATGGTTCAAGAATTTGATAATCTGTTTGGGTTTTTCAAATTTTGAAAATTATAATTTTAATATATGTAATAATTAGGGGTGTTCATGGGTTGATTTGGTTTAATTTGATATAAATAATACTATATGTACTAATTAACTAATGTACTAATTGATAATGTGACATAATTTAAGATGTTTTTGATATTTGTAATTTGTATAATAAGTAGAATAAATAATAACGTCATAACTAATACACTAGTTAGTACATTAATAGGTGCATGTAGCACCACTGATTTGATATTAAATTTCGGTGGTGCTACATACACTAATTAGTGCACTAACTAGTGTACTAACACTAGTTATTTAGTACACTAATCGGTAGATATAACATTATTCATTAAATTTAGAACTAACCCAATCATAATTGATTTCAAATTTTTAGACCTAGAATCAAATTAATCATACATTAAAATCAACCCAACCTAACCCAATGTAACTCAGGTTGGTGTGAGTTGAAACCACGATTTTACTATATTAAAAATAAATGAATCAATCAATAATAAATAATTAAAATAAATAAATCTTTAACATTTAAATATAATACAAACAAATAACAAAATATTATTTAATGCAAATTAATGCAAATTAATACAAATTAAATTCTACTCAATCTTAAACATAACTCATACCAATTAAATCTAAAAATACAACCAATACAAATTAAATCAACTGTGAAATCCAACTCAAACTTCTAATACTTCCTCCGTTCACTAAATAATTATTGTATATAAAAAATTATTAGATACAATCAAATATATTGTAATAAACCAATTGGGTGAAGATATGTTAATATAAATAAAAATTTTAAATATATATTAATAGGTTTAGTTCTTGGATTGGTTTTGTTAAGACTAGGTCAAATCTAAGAATCAACCTAATCTTAACCATTTGATTATTGTTGGTTTATTCGATGGTCTGTAATGTCTTTTGCTTTTTGCCTAAATAAAGTCTACTATTTTGTTATTTCTGAACTTTTTTTGAGAATTTCTTTAAATTTTCAATTCATCTCTAGAA